TATAAAAGATGTGCAAAACTAACCATGCATATCAAGTGGCATCTGCCTGAAAGGGAAAGGGGTTGGTTTTGCCAGGTGTGTAATTGCTGAACAATTTTGTGTATTATTGGGGTATAATTTAAGGACTATAAGTCACTGGCCATAGATTGGATATTTATACCTGGTTATGTAAGGGAACAGTGTTTTATCTAGATGGTAAAGTTCTTAGTCTATGTGGAGGTAATAAAGTCTGATTCCACTGTGAGACATAATAGTTGACTTTTTTCTAAATTTATCTCTAAAACAGAAAATGTACCATAAAGGTGTATGGGTTGTAAGATGTTAGGTAGATGAATCAAGGGGTCAGAAAGGAATAGAATAATGTCATCTGCAAATAGGGCTATTTTGACTTCCGAGGGGCCTATTGGTATGTCACAGAACAATTAAGTAGAAGCTAAAGAGAGTGATAAGGGTTCTATGGCTAAATTGAATGAAAGGGGAAAGGGGACAACCCTGATGAGTTTCTGTTTACAAATGGAAGGGGGGGAGAGAGCTGTAGAGATGCATATCTGGGCGGAGGGTGAAGAGTACATAGTGGAGGTCAAATCTACAAAAGTACCAGAGAATCCCATGCGTGACATGACCATTAAGAGCCAGTACCAGTTGACATCGTCAAAAGCCTTCTCCACATCTAAAGTCAATAACGCCATTGAATGCGAAGAGGGCTTAGTCAGTCTAATTCCTTCTAGGGCAGATATGATCTTCCTAAGAATCATGACTGCAGAGCATCCAGGAACAAAGCCAGCTTGGTTAGGGGAGATTCGGGAGCACGACAGCCAAACTATTGGTGAGAATTTAGAAGAGTAATTTTGCATTACAGAAATCAGGTAGTATGATCCTACTAATAATGGATCTTTCCCTTTTTTGGGAAGTAGTCTAATATAGGCATAATTAAAAGTAGGGAGTATTGTTTGTGATGTAATATGTGATTGAAAAGTGGGGGTTATATCATCAGATACAAGTTTGTAAAATTTAGTGGTCAACCCATCAGGGCCTGGGGCTTTATAAATCAGGGATTTTTTTATAGCATTTTGTAGTTCTTGTAAAGTAATATGATCGTTCAAGAAGTGTAAATCTTCCCCCGGAAAAAGAGGGCAAGGCTATATAGGAGGACCTTGCAGATAAATTGCCAGAGTCTGGCCCATATAAGGATTGATAGAATATACAAAATATCTAGCAGATATTGTTAGTGTCCGAATGGGCATCTGCCAATCATATTACATGAGAGACTGGTATCTTCGAAATACGCTATTTGAAGAATTTGAAGAATTCCACCTCTGTGGAATCTGATTTAGAGGTCATATTGATGAATTCAATGATTGCAGGTTTGTTTAAGTCCTCTATAGTCACTGAAAAAATCTTTGAAAGTAGGTTGGGAGAGTAGAGGAACATATTAATTAGGGATAGAGAATTGTGAGCATGGAAAAAATGTGTATATTCTCTGTCCAACGGATGAAGGTATCTCTATACATCAAGTAAGCCGCAGGCTTGGATCATGATGCCGCGGTGTTTGTCTTGCGTTTGGGTGATGGCGAGGAAGATCTTTTTTCCCATTAGCAGTCTTCCAATGTAGATGTGACAGTGTTGAAATTGCCACCAAGGACAAAAGCTTCTGGATTCCTTGAGGAGGTCATGGACAGAATCGAGTCGAGGAAAGACTGATTGTCTGAGTTCGGACCGTAAAAGTCTTGGAGCCAAATTGTAGGGTAATATGTAACCATTGACCTTCATGTCACTGGAATAGTAAAATGTGAGATAAGGATTTAATAATGAGTGCCTTCCCAGAATTGTTGGGATATCGTTGAGCTTGAGATGGGTCTCCTGTAGTAGTGCGATATCGACGTTACATTTTTTGAGGTGTCTTAAAACCTGTCTTCTTTTGTTATGGGATTTGAGTCCTTTGACATTCCATGCAATTACTTTCAATAGGATCCCAGATACGAGAGAGGCAATAAGCAGATAGGTAAAATAAGGGAGAAATAATGTCAAGCGGGACACATGCCAGTGCTCCAGCTTCATCCTGTGGGAAGAGTAACAATGAGATCAGAGAGGTATATGTTCTCGAAGAGCTGGATGCCAAACCCCTCAATGTAAATTGAATGACCCATGGCAGGAGTAGTAGATAGCAACAGCAAATACACAGGGTATGTAGAGAAAAAAAATTAGGAAAAACAAACTCGTATTGTGACTTCCTTTTGTTCAGATTGTAGTGCAAAAGCCAATGGCAGCCTTTGGTGATAGAGGCATCTATCCACCTTCAGTAGCCGAAACAATGAGTGTAAAATGTAGCATGAGATATGCACCATCCTGCCACATGGGTGTGATGTACATGGTGAAAGAAGATAACCTGAACACGAGAAAAATGGACTAAGTAATATGCAAAGAGATGATTAGTAGCTTCAACAAAGGCAACCAGCCCAACTTAGATCGGAAGAAGGAGAATTCTCATGAGATTGTTAGAAATTAGGTCAAGCTTTCTTTTTCCTGGGAGAGCTTTTAATCAGTGACTTGGAAGGCTCATCAAGATGAGATTTCAGGTAATCCTTAGCCTGTATAGCAGAGGGGAAGCATACGGTTTTACCATTCGGGGCTACATTACCTATAGTGGCTGGGTAAGCAAGCGTATATTTTATTCATCTGTGGATGATAAACTGACATACATTTGGCTTGTGGAATGATGGAGTAGCAGAATTTAGGGAGATCAGCTGGTTTGATCGATTCAGGAATACCTATGGATCTTAGATTATTTCTGTGGGACCTGTTTCCAGATCATCTACTTTGTCGGTGAGGAATTGATTCGTTTTGGATGCATTATCATGTGACCTTTAAGAAATAGCACTATGGTCTTCTGAATCGCTGACCCTGAGCTCCATAGCTTGAAGCCTGTTGTTTTGCGCTGCCAGGGCTGCATTGAGTGTCCCCTGGTGTTGCTGTAGTAATTCTGCTACAACTGCAGCAATGTCATTTTTGAGGTAGGAAGCCATTGCTGAGGCTAGCTTTTGATAGTAAATAGGTCCAGATGGTAGTGCATTAGAAGACTCACCTTCCGGATCTTCATTATCGCCATGCAGCATCCAATTTGCGTCTGCCAAGTTGAGAGGGCCATGGTCTTTATCTGGCTGAGAGGAGAGGGAGCGCCTTGCCATTTGTGGCCTCATTAGATATTTGTCCATGGCCTGAGGTGGATTTGTGTGAGGCATTCAGCCATCATGGAGTGAGTTGGAGTGGCAGAGGATCGTGTGAGGTGTTGTGGCGGGACAGAGCTCAGGAGCGAACGTCTACTTCATCAGGCGCTGGAACCGGAAGTCATAGTCTACTCTTTTGTAGGGAAATGTTGATATGGGTTATACTTGTGCTTGTATGAAGTTTGAGAACTGCACTATCTGCAATAGTCTAATCAAGTGGTTGCCTAAACTCTGCAAAATGTGAACCAGGCCATCCTAAATTTTTAAGATCACAAAGCTTGTCACAAAAACCTCATGCAACATACCAAGCATCTGAGCAAGAAAGTATCTTGTAATAGGTAAAGTGACACTAAAGTTACAATTCCCCCTAATACTGCTTTAAGGACTTACTTTAGGTGATGCCTCTTGATCCGAACCGGTTCTTGCTTCCACTCATTTTCCAAAGCTCTTCCAGTGCTGGTGATGGTCTCTGATCCAGTGCAGACTCCTCGGGTCTCACGGTGCCAACATGCTTGCTCCCAGCTGCCCGGATGCATCCATTCAGCTTCTGTGCTTCTCTCCTCCTCTCCCCTACAATGCTCTAGACTGCGCATGTGCCCGCTCACACTTCCACCTTCACAGTGTTTGAGAGCCGAGACTTCTGCAGTCGGGAGCGAGCGGCGCTGACACAGGTAAGTTTGTTTGTATTTGCCAACTTTTCTTTTTGTTTAATGTTGGGGCATATATCGACTGCTTACTGGCAGTCGATATATGCCAAAAAAAGACTTGAATTCTACTTTAAACATAATTATGATATTTCAAATGAAGCAACAACTGAAGAAGGAAGTCTAATTCAGTACAGCCAGCAGAAAAATACAGTATATCAGTGCAACTTACAAATGGTGCCATAAACGGTTTAGCCATAATTCTTGAATTTATGTTAGAAATGATGTTTTGGTTTCTCATCTAAACAAGAATATTACAATAGTATACATACAATTATGATTATTTGTAGTAGCAATATA